CGTTAGCTGGGTGGAACTCAAACCACTCCCAGGCAGGGCTGTTCAGAGAAGTCGCCACACCTCCTCCTGAGGGAGCTCCGGCTCTGAGAGGCAGCTTCTATGTTTCTCCCAGTCCACCACCCAATACCTGGGATTCTGACCAGTGGTAGTTCTTATGTGCAGATTCCATGCTCAGATGTGCTGGTGCGTAGTTTGGGCGTTTTTTTTTGAATTTTAGATGTTCAGTTTATTGTTGTTTCGGGGGGAGAGATCTGATATATCTCTCATTTTGCCATGTTTCTCCAAACCCCTAATTCTGTTGAAAAAGCGATGGCGTCAGTGATGTGAAGGCTATAGAAAACACGTGAAAAATATTAACTGTTCTGAATGTTAAACAGACTTGTATTCCTGGAGTAGACCTCAGTTGATCATGATTTTTTATCCTTTTAATATATTTTTGAGTTTAATTTGCTATTCTTTGTTTAGAACGTTTATACCTATGTTTTTGGGAGATTGACTTTAGGAGATATCGAGCTCAACTCTTTAGCTTACTATGCCAGACAGCTTCAAAATCTGACAAATGTTCCCAGGGTGGAGTCATAGTATGTTGTATTAAATCCCTTTTTTCTAGCAGGATTTTATCTCCTGATGACATGATAATGCTGGAGACTTTCCTGTGATTTCCATTTCCAGGCCTCCAGTCTCCCGAGCTAGTCCCGAACATTACAAAGGCCTTGTGGTTGGGGCTCCTCTGTTTTCCAATCTGTCATATCTGCCACAAATGAAAACCAAAATTTCACTGACTTATTTTGGTGGTCAAACTTCAGCTCATACTCAGAACCAATAGATGGCCTATGATTGTTAGATCATTTTGATAAAGCTCTTCCCTCTTTTAAGTTTTAAATAACCTAATTTTAATTTCTTTCAAAACTCTTCAATTATATATATTGATTGCAATGGGAGAAGTGGCTTACTGCAATTTACTATATCCAGAATCTCCTTCAACTCTTTAGATCTTGTTTTTCTCATTTTGATATGACCCCCCCAAAAATTATTCTTGATAAGCCTTGAGGCCTCTAGAAGTTTCACTGTGAGATGTTTTTTCTTATATAGTCTCCTTATACCAGCTTGCCACATAATGATATTTAACAAATGCATTAAATATGATGAGTATAAAAGATAATGCTTATTCTTAGATTTTAACGTCACTAATTATGTAACATAATTAACTGTAACTTATAATGGTCTATTTAGATTTCCTTGTTTGGAGAAGAAATGTAATACATGTATTCATGTATTTTTTCAGTCAGGTTTCAGATGACTTTATTTGATCAAATATGTCATAAAACGTCACAATCCGATTTATGTTTATCAGAATTATATTACTTTAGCCATTAAATATAATAGCTTCTTATTTTTTCTTATTCTTTTCTATATAAAGCTGTTTCTGAGCACAAGAAGCATGAAGCTCACAGTTCAGCATGTCAGTTTCCACCATCAACTGATGTAACTAGTGATGTTGGTGTCGATTTAACCAGTGTCTTCACAAATACAGGGACCCTTGGATGCTCAGAATTTCCTAACAGAGAATTACAACATTATCAGGTAATGTTTAGAATAACATTATTTCTCTGGTTATGATGTAATGCACATGGAAATGCTCTTGATCTAATATTTTGGAAGAAAACATTCAGTCAATTAACATTAACATTGTTCTTTTGAAAATCTGCAGCATCTTTTGAAAATGTCAAGACACTGAGAGGAAATGCAAGAAAGAGAAAGTTATGGGGGTTTTCACTTAAGGAGTTAATGGTCATGATGGAAAGATAAAAACATACAGAATGGTTTTCACTTAAGGAGTTAATGGTCATGATGGAAAGACAAAAACATATGTAAGGGTTAAAGGAAATAAGTTTTGGGGTTCCTTTTTTAGGACAACTAAGTGGGTGATGACAGCAAATACACTGGCAGTGAATGACATTGTAACCCTTGCCAGGTAGAAGATGAAGTCATGTGTTAAGACCCTGTGGTCCTTGTCCGTGGGTGATCTGCCTCACTCTCCTTCCCTTCCTGCCACTGTGGGCCTTCTATTAGCCCTCCTGGTTGTGAACCTGTGTGTTTTCAACCTTGACTTAGAAACCATTTAGAACCACCTTAGTTTGGTACCTAGAAGCAGATTTCCTGGACTCATGACCTTTTCTTCTTCTTCTTCTTCTTCTTTTTTTTTTTTTTCACGGTAAGATCTAATCTCTGAGTCATTCCCTCCCAGGTGAAAACTTGACTTTGATTGATGGCTGCTCTCAACACTCAGCCTGAGGCTTACTGTCTAAGATCGTCTTCCATATTTAGGGACATACTCTACATGCTCCAAAGACATCTGCTCTGTGTTTGTTTCCTTCAGTGATCTGTTTTCAGTCATAAGGAAAGGGATAATAATGAGATAATTACTGAAATCAAATATTTTTATTGAATACTTAGTAAGTATAGAGAAACATTACCCATATTATTTCCTTTTTTACTATTTACAGCAATCCTATGCAATAGGTAATGTTATCCACATGAGAGAATCGAGGGTGTGGAAGATAATGCAAATTTCCAAATGTCATCATCCATCTAGTGAAAGGTGGAGTAAAAATTTAAACCTAAATCTGTTAGACTTCATGCCTGTGCTCTTAATTACTACAATGCACTGCCTATTATGGAGGATATTTCTTATTTTAATTTCCTCAACACACTTAGAGGTAGATATAATTATCCCCCTTTTGATATAAGGCAAGTTGAGAATTAGACAAGCTAAGAAATTTTTTCAGAATATTAATGGTAAGGGATTTAAATTCAAGACTCTGATCTCAAGACTTACGTGTTTTACACTATCAATATTTCCTCTACACTTACAAATTACATCTACATGTAAACATACACCTTATGTATATAAATTACATATTTTATATGTAATTTGTTTATACATGGCATTTTAGAGTTTAAAAACTAATTTAACTGACGATAATCCTTATTCTAATCTGTTACATAGAGTTTTATGGATGAACGAATAGGATCAAAGAGGCGAACATCTTACTCAGTAGAAATAGCTGCTGGGAGAAGAAGCTGGAATTTAACAAATGTTTTCAGACTGAAATTCATGCTGTCAAATAGTAACCTGTATGAAAAGTTAGCTAGAAAATTTCATAAGTCACGAATTAAGCTAGTTAAAATGAAGATTCCAAAGCAGCCAAATTTCTGGTAGTTGACAAGCCAGAAGGAGAGGATAATTTATTCAGATGATCTTTTGGGTCATTCAAATCACTGTGTGCAGCTGTCAGACAACATGTACAGATACTTTTATGACAGTGGGAGGAACAAAGAGTTTCTAAGAAGACTTCTTTTTTTTTTTTTTAGTTTGAGATACAGATACATGAAAAGAAAGCATTAGAGGTCAGTGGAAATTTCTCCATTCCTGTATTAAAGATAGTATAAGGATTAAGTCTTTTCTAAATGAAAACTTATATTTGAGTCAATATTTATTATTAGATGCTATTAAGAGAGTGTTTTATGCTTATACTTTTTTACAGTGAAGTAATACATGTATGTGTTTGTGTTTATACATACATATATATATATACATATATATATATACATTATATATATATAAAGGATTATCAATGGCAGTAATTTTTTTGAAACATTTGGTTTCATCTCATGTAACTTTATATAAATTCTTTCTAGGTGACTCACAATTTCTCTAGTGACTTGTTATTGTGGAAAGTCTTCCTGGCTTGTCTCTTAGCCTGTGTGATAACAACAGCAATTGAAGTACTCGTAGGGTGTCTGGTGTATAATGAGAAAAATAATAATGCATCCACGGTTACATAACTTCCCCAATACCAAGAGACAACTTCATCTACAACAGGCACTAATTCTGAAACTATGGTTTCCACTATCATAACCTATTCAACCACACCATCCACTGATAATACCATCACTAAAATCACTGGTATCACTGCAATAGAACCAACTATAACAACTGTCATGATTACCACTGAGGGTACAACCACGATTACCACCACAGCAGCTTCAAAAAACCCACAACCACTTCAACAGAACCAGCTACCACAACAGCCAGCACAACCACTGAGGGAATAACTACCAGGGCTACTGCTCTATCTTCTACAGTGACCACAACCACAACAGCAGCCATCAATACAACTGAGACTACAACCAAAATGGCCAACAATACTGCTTCTGCCAAACCTACAACCACAACAGGAGCCTCCACATCAACAGAACCACCTATCACAGCTACCTGCACTACCACTGAGACTACAACCACAACGGCTAACACTGAAAGCTTCTGCGGGAGCCAGAACCACAACAGCAGCCATGACATCCACAGAACCACCTACCACAGCTGTCTACACTACCACTCAGCTTGCATCTACAATGTCTACCATAGTGGGTTCTACAGTGACACAACCACAACAAGAGCTACTACTTCCACAGAATGTCCTACATCAGCTGCCAGCCCTACCACTGAAGCCACAACCACAGTGGTTACCAGTGTGCATTCTACAGGAGACATCACCACAACAGCAGCCAACCTTTCCACAGAACTACCTACCATAGCTGCCAGTACTCCCAATGAGCCTGCAGCTACAATGTCTACCACTGTGGGTTCTATAGGAGCCAAAACCAGAGCTTCAGCTACACTTTCAGAGAACCAGCTACCACAGCTGCCAAATCTACCACTTAGCCTGCAACCACAACAGCTACCACTGCCAGATCCACAGAATCTACAACCACAACAGCAGCCACCTCTTTTACAGAACCACCTACCACAGCTGCCAGGATTATCACTGAGCTTACAACCACCACAGCTACCACTCTGGGTTCTACAGAATCTAATACCACAACAGCAGTCACCACTTCCACAGATCCACCTACCACAGCTGCCAGCAGTACCACTGAGCCTGCAACCACAATAGCTACCACTGGGGGTTCTACAGAATCCACAACCACAACAGCAACCACTACTTCCACAGAATGATGTACCACAGCTGCCAGTAGTTCCACTGAGACTACAACCACACCTTCTGCCACTGGCTTCTACAAGAACCACAACCACAAAAGGAGCTACCACTTCCACAGTATCACCTACCACAGCTGCCATAACTACCACAGAGGGTAAAAACCACAATGGCCAAGAGTGCCATTTTTTTCGAAGCTAAAACCAACACAGCAACCACCACTTCCTCAGAACCACCTACCACAGGTGCCATAACTACCATTGAGGCTACAACCACAATGACTATCACTGTGTCTTCAATGGAAGCCTCTCCCACAACAGCAGCCTTGACGTTCACAGAATCACCTACCATTTCTGACAGCATGATCAATGATGCTACAACCACAATAGCTACCACTCTGGGTTCTACAGAATCTACAACCACAACAGCAGCCACCACTTCCACAGAAACACCTACCACAGCTGCCAGCACTATCCCTGAGCCTGCAACCACAACAGCTACCACCATGGATTCTAAAGGAGCCACAACCATAAGAGCAGGCACTGCTTTGACAGAATCACCTACCCCAGCCTCCAGAACTACTACTGATGCTACAACCATAATAGTCACCATTGTGTCTTCTACAGGAGACTCAACCACAACAGAGGCCACTACAGAGGCCACCACATCAGAACCACTTACCACAGCCTCCAGCACTACCACTGAATCTACAACCACAACGGCCACTACTGATGCTTCTACCGAATCTAAAACAGCAACAGCAGCCATCACTTTCTCAGCACCACAGACCACAGCTGCCATAACTACCACTGAACCATTTACCGCAACATCTACCACTGTTTTTTCAACTGGCGCCACTACAACAACAGCAGCCTCCATGTCCACAGAATCACTTACCACTGCTGACAGCACTATCACTGTCGCTACAACCACAACAGCTACCACTGTGGGTTATACAGAATAGGATATTCATCCATAGCTGCAGCTACCACCTCCACAGAACCAACTACCATACCTGCCAGCAGCAGCACTGAGTCTGTAACCACAACAGCTACCACTGTGGATTCTGCAAGAGCCAAAACCACACCAGCAGCCACCACTTCGACAGAATCACCGAAAATCGCTGAAAGTACTATCACTGAACTTGCAATCACAATGTCTACCACCATGGCTTCTATAGGACACACAATGACAACAACAACCACCACTTCCATAGAACCACTTACTACAGCTGCCAGCACTACTACTGATGCTACAATCACAACGGTCACCACTGTGTCTTCTACGGGATACGACAACACAACGGCAGCCACCACTCCCTCAGAACCACTTACCACAGCCTCTAGCACTACCACTGAATCCACAACCACAAGAGCAGCCACCTTTTCCACAGAACCACCAACCACAGCTGCCATAACTATGACCGAGGCTACAACCACAACGTCTCCCACCATCACATTTATGGGAACTACAACCACAACAGCAGTCACTACTTCTACAGAA